TTCTGATCCACATAAATTAATAAAAATCTGTTATCATCAATTAAAATACGCTCTCCCAAAATTAATTGGTGACAATATGATATAATGCAAGACATAAACTCCTAAAAATATTGATGTTAAATGATAATGATTTTTTTGTATATAATTTCTTAAATTTCCCTCATTCAAGAATCACTGCATAATTTCCATTTTCAGGGAATTTAGTTATACCATGACAAGGAACAATTGTGCCTGTTGATTTAATTTTACAATAATTCAATGCCTGAAATTAATTATATAAATAAAAATTAATTAATTTAAAATAAATGGTTTAGTTTATTTTTAAATAAAAACAATTACCTCATCAAAAAAAGGTTTTCCTGGGTTATTTGAATTATTTAATGATTTTAATACTACATAATTATCTCCAAAATAACTAAACTCCTTTTTATTTTCACCATAGCCATCAATACATCCTCTTGCCCACATAGCAGTGTAAATAGAACTGAATCCACCTTCTGTTAACTTTTCTATTTCATAAAATTGCTCATAAGGTATCCATTCTATAATTCTATTTGGAAGAGATGAAAGCTGTTGACATTTTTGAATAAAACTATCAATTATCTCATTTTCAGATGTCCAAGTGCTGAAAAGGCTCTGTAAGTGTAGACTAATACACTTTTCACAAAATTTATCAGAGTATCTTGTTGTTTTACAACTATTGCATTCCTTTGGTTCCCTCCTTTTATAAATTGCATTGGTTAATTCAAAATAATAAATAAACTTTTCTCTACAATATTCCTTTTCATTTTCTAATAGTTCTTTGTTCTCTGACTAATTGTAAAAAGTAATCTTTTCTAATTTCTTCGTTAAAAAAAGTTGGAAAAGCAGATATAGCAATACTATCCATTTCATTATGAATTTTAAATATTAATTCTCTTCTGCTTGTGTTAATAATTTATATAACTTATGAAAAGACATTTTTAACTTTTTAATATTTATTTTTAAATAAAAAAAATTTTTTTAAATTTCTTAAACTATTATTAGTAATTTTGCCCAATTGTTTCTCTCTTGTGATTTCCTTGTATATTTCCATAGTAATAGATATCTTTTTTTAAAAAAATTTTTTTTAAAGAGCGTACAAAAATAAAAACACCGCCACCTTTCCTTCGCAGCTGAAAATTTATTCATGTAAGCTCTTCCAAGGCTACCAGAAACTATTTATACCAGGCTTTTCCAATTGTCAGAAAATGAAGATGAATTCCATGTTTTTTTTGTAATTATGATTTCACGATAAATATTTAAAATTCGCATTCGATCAAAAACTAAAATCATATTCATATTAATATCTAAATCACGAATAATTATAAACAATCTTCGTCATTAATAAAAGTTTCAATTCTCTTGCAAGTAATAGTAATATATTCCCTCTGATTTAACGAGTGTCTGGGATAAAAAACTAGAGAAGAAAAGAACAATTATGGAAATCTGAGCTGCAATTTATAATCAGGCCTCACTCTGTGGTTTCTTGTTAGTATGTAGGACGTCGCAAGATGGCTGTTGACAAAACTAAAATATGGCGACAGCAAGTTTGGCTTGATATACTGAGAGACAAGTATTTACGAGTAGAATTCCAACACTGCCTCGATCATAGCACATTTCATAAGGTATATTGGGAGCAGTCAACAAATTATGGGAAGAGAATTTCGATTAATAAGAGATTACTACTCAATGGCTTTAATTGTTGGCCAATTGATTTTTTATTACGATTGAGTTATATTAAGAGTAGATTAATTAGCACACGATTTTATTATGCAAAACGATTCTATAATGATAATTATCCACATCACATTCATCAAATGATGATAATAATGATAAAAACGAATATCCAGTCCAAGCCAATAAATTTTATACAAATCTATTAGTTGATAATGGAGCTGATCCTGTTTATTGTTTGTCTTATGTTTTAGAGCTTGGAAGCGATCATTCAGAATATAGTCGAGAAAAATAAAGTTTTTGGGCCGGGCCTAGGAACAGATCCTGTTAGAGATCGTTTATTCCAAGTGTAACGACATGTCATCGTCAGAAATGTAAGAAGAATAATCAACATCGGTCAGCAGATTTCTCAGTTCCGATCCTCAAGAATTTTCTGTTTACTTCTAGAACTAACAATAAAATAATCTGCTGCTGCTGTCGAACAGCAATTTATTAATCTACTAATTGTACGTGGTATGGCATTTTCCATGGAAGAATATGCAACATCTCATCACAAGTTAGATTTAAATCTTTAAATAAAATAAGTTATCAGGGGTAATTATTAAATATCAAGTTCTTCTAAACGATCAAAGTAATTGATAAAGAATCAGCTTTAACCAATAAAGATGATGATATATGTTGAAAAGTAACAAAGATAGATAACAGTATTTAATGAAATTGCAAAATTGTCAAGATGATAAAATTGTTAATAATATTTATGATAAGAGTATTGGAACTTACGCCACAGGGCTGATTATTTGTTCATCATCATTTATTTATTTATTTTTGATTGATATTCTTTTAAAAAATTTAATGTTTATTATACATTTAATTGGTAGAGGAATTATTGATTATGACAACAAAACCAATTCCATTGACAACGGCAATAGCAAATTTCGCATTAGCACATCATTTTGCTAAATTCAACAGGACAGAACGGGAGACGAGTTGAGTTCTTGATTTATGATGCCATTGGCGATGGGTTCAAAAAGACCTTCCAGTTTTAAATGATATTTTTTGAACGTGCATTCATGAAAGTTGAATACGCCTTTTGAATTTGTTTTCAAAGAACATGCTCCCTCCGAGAACTTTGAAGAATTGTGTGTTATTGCCTTGCTGAAAAATGCATAGATTCAACTGAATTCATTTTCTCTAGTTAAAAAAACTATTAAATAAAAAGCAGACATTAAAAATAAACTTAAAAATAATTAACAAGTAAAAAATCTAATAAATCAATCAAATTAAATCGAGCACAAATCAAATTACTAATATTATTAAAAGTTTGTTATGTCGGGAGTTTTCTCAATGGAGTCAGGGTGTGTATTATACTTGCCGTCAAAAGTATAGTCCAATCCCCAATCCCAAATAGGTGAAAACTATTTGGGACTTTTGAGGTGTAAAAGTCCCAAATCCCAAACCCTGAAATTAGTACCAATTTATACAAAACACATTCCAAAATCATATTAATATATACATAATGTGCTACCCAATTCATGAAATTTCAAGGGTTTGGGATTTGGGATTTTTGGTTTGGAATTTATGTTTGTCTTGGCCTTTTGCGTTTGGGCAGCAAATATAGTGTGCATTGTCTGCATGCTGATTCGACCATATACACTAATCGTATTTTCTCATTGATGGATGTTTTCCTCGCCATGCAATAATATACAGCAGTATGCTTTGTTGAAGGAAGAACAAAAAAAAACATTCTCTAATAACCCATCCCCTAGCAAAGAAGGATTTTTTAATTTACATTTGAAATCACAATTATTCTCTTATAAATGATCACACTGTTATCAATTAATCCTAGGACATTTTCTAACATTATGATTAAATACTCCACAATTACCACAAATATATCTTCTTTAAATTGTTTGGTTTTCGATATTTTACACTAGACTTATGCTTTTTTGAAGATGGTCTGCATTTAGTAATATGTTCAAGCGGTTCCTTTATCTGACCAGTTAAATACACTTTACCCGGTACTTTCAAAAGTAGTCTCTGTTTCTAATCTTTATATTGTTTCCATTATCTAAAGGCTTTCCAGGATATTCACAATCCAAGCACCTATAAATAATCTCACTTTTATCCATCCTTTTTTTTTAATCGTGAATCCATTAAACCGACCATATTCAGAGCAATAACGAATTACAATCTCAAAATTTGGAAAACATGTTCCTTCTGATAGGTTGTAGACATTTAATCAAACCTGGAAAGGAATCCAACCCTTAATAATATGTGCACCTTCCCGAGCGAATAGTTGCTAAAAACATAAAAATGGCAAAAAACTCATGCTTTAAAGGCTGCACACAGATTCTATTGATATTAATATACTTATTTAACAGTGAAAAATATTATTTTCGTATATTAATATATTGAAGAATCTGATTTCCTATCAAATTGCGTCAAAATCAAATAGCCTCCCTAATTCAATTTTACTAAAAATTTTATATTTTTGATTTTTTTTTTTTAGATTTATCTTTTCTAATTGAGGTGAACGGAAAGTGATTTTTTTCCTAAATAAGTACACAAGAGTTTATAAATTTACTTCAAATGATAACCTTTACCGAATTAGAGCTATTTTCTTTATATCCGAAGTTATTCCTTTTATGATAGGTCACAATATGATGTTCAATGTTTACCCTCTGGCTAAGGGTGCAGATATATTGCCGAACTAACTATAATTACAACACGGCTATGTCGTGACTCTTAGAAACCGACTGTTTATTATTTTTTAAAAGTGAGACAGACTCGAATCAGGTAAATTATTAATATCTTCACTAAACTCATCATATTCCCCATATTCTAAACCCTATACATACACTTGTACCCGGTTTACATCTCTGCGCACAAACCGTTTATATCCCACATTGAACTGGGGCAAATTTCCTCAGTTATTATTATTATATATAAAATAATGTAGACGGGGTACAAATTAGTTAATATCACAACTGCCGAGCGATTTTCATATAAATTTTTAATATGATTATTGACAGATGATTAAAATTCTCCAAGGGCTTGAAAATTCATAAAAAAATGGCATGCGGAAGAATAAAAAAATATAAATCCATCAATGATTTTGTTATCAATTGAAAAATTCAAACTCTAAAAAATATTAAAAAAGCAAATTGATTGATTAAGAATAATAAAGCGTCTTCATTTTTTATTTTTTATCAAAAAAGTGAACATATTAAAAAAAAAATTGTACAAAAATTATTTTTTTCAAATTACATATTTTACAAATTATAAAATTTCCCAAAATATCATTTTCATTCCAAGCATACTTCAGCCAAAGTTTTTGAAGGGAAACTCAATATAGGGAAATTATTACTACCCACAAAGAAACCTAGATTACCCCTGAAACCAGTTGAAATATGAGGAGTCGTTTTAGATTTGCAACCAGAAGCTGAACCAATGTCAAGGTTGGCACTCAATGTGGTGACAATATTAATGCCAGTTTTCAAACTGACCAATCCATTAAGAACATCGATATTGAGAGCTAATTGTGGTTTCAAAGAGCCGCTAATTTCGGATGAGCTAGTAAGCCCCCCGAATTTTGAGTCGTGTGATTTTGATTGAATGTCGAATCCGGATTTGGAAGATTTGGGATTTTTGAAATCATCGAAATTTAATTCTGCCTTGAAATCAGGCATGGACAACTCGCCGCCCGTGGTTAAAGTGCCTTTGACGGATGTAGAAACTTGAGCACTTGCAGCCAAAAGTATGGAAGGACCGATATTAAAAATGTTTGGTATACCCAATGGACTCAATGGGATGTCAAAAATTTGAAGGTCTGGTGAGTTGAGACTGACACTAACTTGTCCGTTGAGACCCAAGTCAACATTTAATTTTATATTACCATTAATTCCAACCCTTGCTTCATTAATCTTAAGTCCTTTTCCAGAAATGTGCATAAAGAGAGTTGCCTCACCATTCACATAGCAATCGGCACAAACCAATGATTCAGCAGTATTGTTTTGGCTGGATGATAATATTGGAAAATTTGGTTTGGAAGATTTTCCGGTTGTTTCATCAAATAAAACATTCAAATCCAATTTTAAACTTTTATCAGCGGCAATACGTTTATTTATTAATCTATCTGATCTTTTTTTGTTAAAAGGTATTCTTTTCCCATATAGATTTCTTCTTTGTGGAGTTGTTCCACCGTTGATCCATTGTAAATCAAATGAAAATTCGCTAGACCAGGCCTTTGGGTCACATGGTTGAGTAGTAAATTTTGCGCTTAAATTTGGTTCGTCGATAGTTTGATTTCCGACAAAATAATATTGGGTGGTATATTTTCCGAAACATTCATGTTTATGAGATATCATTAAGATGACATTGTCGGGCCAATTGTCAATAGTTTTCAATGAAGCTTTATCGGCAAGAGTCAATGTGATGGTTTTGGCACTGGTGTCACATTTAATATCTTTCACGGAGTCGGTTTGATCAGGATTTATTGATGGTACGGTTGTCTTAAAGTAAACTTTTGCTTGATGATATCCACCACCATTGGAATTATCTTGATTATAAATGCCAATTAAGTCATTTCCAATTGAAAACGGCAAACTTTTACCTAAAGGACTAAAATCTGCATTTACCGCAGGAATTGATGTGATGATTTGTATTGTAATGAACAAGAATATAAATGATTTTATTATTAAATTATTTGCCATTTTTTTTTTAAATAAAATGAGCAATGAAAAGAGGGGTATACACAATTTATACAATTTTTTATACAATTTTTTTTTTAATTTATTGGTAAAAAATAAAAGAGTAATAAACGTCCAGACGTTTATTATAATTGTTTAGGGAACTAAGGAATTGGAAAAAGAAAGGAATGGTTTAATTTTTATCTGGAAAAGGAAAGGGAAAAAATTAAATTGATTTTAAAAAAAAAAAAAAAAAAAAAAAAATATTAACATTTGTTTTATAATAATTTTTTACATTGTGTAACTTCTACTTAAAGTCCAAAAATGGCAAGAATGCTAAAATCACATAATCGGCCGTGTATCTATTTACTATAATAATAGTAAAGATGTGCATATATAAAAAATGTCGAGAAATCCGAGTTTATGAATAAGGAAATTCTAAATTTATGTTACAAAGGATAGTTATTTGGAAATCAAACTTGTCCTTAAATTAATTTCCCAAAAATTAATAATAATGAACACAAACACAAAATTGAAACGTGTGTGTTCATCCATAACTTTGTTTTGACGACAAAGAAAAACTTAATGATAATAATGGTGATCAAAACTAGTAGTACAAAAGCAATTACAGCTAGACCTTTCTTTTTTTCTTCCTTAACTTTATCGACGTCTTATTCCTAAAAACAAACAAATCCTTTACAACAAGTAAAACCCACAAAATGGGGTGCTATAAACCAACAAATCAAAGAATCGCGCTATAAAACACTACACTAATTAAATGGAGAAAATCCGATCACAATGACGATGATGATCACAATTTTGAAACTTTTTCACGAAGAAATAATGGTTATTCTGTAAATGTTGACTACGGTGACAACATCAGCAGCAACAACCTGCTGATAAAGATAATCGTGAAAGTTTCTTGTCATCATCATCTCCTTCTTCTGCCAGAAATCCTAAACGTAGACAATTTCAAAAATCGTTGGAACATTTTCAATTTGCATCAAGGTCTGTTTCACTTCTGAGAGAATCTTTGTCATGTCGAGAGATCCAGTTATTCCATCAAGAAAACCAACAACAACGCCTACCAGAAATTACAAAGATCAATGAGCTGTTTTCAGTTTGGGTCTTCTCCTTAGATTATTGGCAGTACTAGTGGCAGTACCGGCAGTGTGGGTAGTAAACAAATTCCACAATGCACTCAAGACAACGAAAACCTTATAAACGATTACCAATTGATAAAAACAAATTCGTGCGTCCTCTCTTATTATCTTCTGCATCTACTAGAACTACATCTAATCCAACATCTCAACGTCATCGGCAACAATTGGACAACAATAATAATTATAATGAACCAATGGAAAGAGGATCACGTATCTTTAACAAACAACATAATTGGACATCGAAATATAGCAACAAGACCTTCGTCGTTTCCATTCAATGCCAATAATATTATTAATAAACAACAACAACAAATAATAACAATTGCTAGTCTAAATCCGGTTATCAATTAATTTTACAATAATAAAATTAATACACTACTAATCAATATTAGTATTAAAATAATTTGGGAAAATGATGATTCACAAAGTGATGAAACGTTTATCAAATATAACAAGACACTATCATTTACACCAAAAGATAAAAAATTAAATTAATAAATAATTATTGATTTATTTTTTTTTTTTTTATCTTTCATCATCTACCTTCAAAAAAAATAAAGGGCGAAGAAACTTCAACAAATCCAATTACTTCAATTTTTACAAGAGGGTCAGTCAGCCCACAGAGCTGGGCTAGATGGAAATGATAAATTATTAAAATTTTCCACGGATCTTGAACAAAATTGTATTGACTCTGTTGATATTCATGGTAAATGACTGAATATTAAGTTTTATCAATTCATGGAAAAAAAAGTAAATTAATTTAAGATATTTTTTTTTTTGTATTTTTCAATAACTAATTTATTATTATAATTATTTTAGTCTAAAAGGAGAGCATCATGTCAGCACTGATGAATTTTAGTGACACTTTGAAAAATCATTGTTAAAACTTGATGTAATCAATAAAATTTATTTATTATTTATCATTTACTTCTTGTAAAATGAAGAAACTTTTATTTTGCGTTTACCATCAAATAAATTTGTAGAGTTTCTTACATATACCCAGATCTTGTCATGTTCTGGTACAGCTTGTTCAACAAATGTAGTATGTTTAGTATTAAGATGATGCTCTATATCTTTTGGTGAATAAAGATATTCTTCTTCTTGGCAATTTAGCGATGCCATGCATCTAAAAATTGGTGCTTTGATACCCATTGTAATTGCAGATTTAAATGTAATAACATTTCCTTCAGGAAAATAAGGATAAGGACCAAGCTCTTTTGTTTCTTTTACTAATGCTGGCACTACTTCTTCATCAAGGTATCTCTCAGAGTAAATAGTGTAAGCATCACCTTGATATATTGGTGGATCTTTGTAGCTACCACAATGTTGAAGAATTGTGTAAAGATCAACTTGAGAGTATTTAAGAGGATTACCTATCTCTTCAAGGAAAGTTTCAGAAATTTGTTTCTTGGATCCAATACGAGGCCATTTATTTAACATGTGTTTCAAGATAAACTCTTGTCGATATGGTTTTTCTGCTTCATAGATTATTTGATGTTTTAATTCTCTCCAGTACTTTTTTGTGGGGGTTCATTGACCTCAGCAAGATGAAGGATTGCTTTTTTGTATGAAGTGAAATTATTTTGAATATCATAAGATTTGTAATTTGATATTAATTTTCCTTCCTTAAGAATTTTATTAACAAGTTCATTCAACATTTTGATAAAGCTTTTTGCTTTTTTAAGTATTTGCCCATGGATTGATCTTCAAGCCTTTTTTTACTAGCAACAGGTTTTACTCCAATTTTTTCTCTGAAATTGGATAAATGAATAAATTTGATTATTTAATCAACTAATTAAATTAAACGTTATATCCCTTTAAATAAATAACATTTACTTTTTCTATTGGAAGACATGTTTTAAAAATATATATATATATAATGATCAATTAACAAACACATACAAAATAACATAGCGGGCTTCTCTGTGATTGGCTAATTTTAAGTTTATAGTGATGATGAGTGGCGATAACCACCACCAGTCTTATAATAAACACTTACCCTTTCACCTCTTTTGTATCTTGTATTTTTCTTCTTTTTTGATTTTGATTTTGGAATTGTGGCATTGTAAAAAATTTGAATCATATTATTGGCACGATGTTGTACAAAGATTTTTTTTTTTTTGGAAAATTTATTTGAGTCCAAGTGCCAATAATTTAATAATTAATGTGTACGCGTCGATCAAATAGCAAATTCTTTAACACTCAAATCCCGTAACACTACTTTTTTCCTTACTTGGGATAGATTGTATGATTTTTGTTTTTTTTTGTTGTTTGCCTATATTTGTAAATAAACAGTGGTACGGGAGTCTCTCTTGCTCACTTGCACATCCTCGATTACAAAACTTGTTAATATATAACAATGTACATGATGATTGTAATCGTCAAAGATCAAATTCAGGCAATCGTTCATCTAAAGTTTTTTTTTTGATTTTCATAAAATCAATCCAACACGGCGCAACTCTAATTCTTAAAAACGTTTGCATCAAATTCATTCATTTCTTTCTCTTATTATTTCGAGCATGTTAAATTCGCGTGTTTGATTATTGTTGATAGTTTCTATTCTACGACGTGGCAATGCTTCTTATTTGAATGTTACTATTTCTAACATTATTTTATTTAAATAATAGTAATATTTAACTCGTTGTCACCTATTCGTCAGAATTTAAATTAATATTGTAAAATTCAACTTTTTTTTCTGCCGTCATCATTATCGTATCGTCATTATCCTAAGTATCAGTTCAGTTATGACCAAGAATGGATAAACAACAGCAATAAGAGTTAGTCGAATGTGCTGCACAATTCAAGATTGAGAAATTTCAATCAACACAATAATAACGTCAATGATAATGGCAATGATAACTTTTAAATGATAACAATGATCAAGGAAGTAGTTTCATCCAACAACGATAATTGCCATAATTTTAATTATTATCATATTTGCTAGTTAAAAAAAATGTCAATTATAATTTCTAATTTAACGATTTATTTGTATAATTATTTATTTTCTTATATTTTATATAAAATAAAGATTATTATTAGCATTATATATATATAATTATGATAGATATATAAAAAACACATTTTTTTTAAAAAAATTTGATGATGGTGATTTAGTGTGTAATAATTAATAAAAGAAAATATCTATGTACAATATTAATATGTTTGCGTGTGTTGTGTCGTTTAAAGATTTTAAAAGGGGAATACGTTAAAATTAAAATTACAAGGTGTATTATTTTATTATATTATTATACTTTGCTTTTGCGTATTAAAAAAAAAACTTAATCGAAGGAATTATTTAAAAATATCTTAATATATATATATATATATATATATATAGTCCTTTTTTAATGATAATGACGATCTACAATAAATTTTTTCATAATTCTTTCTAAGCGTTCCATATTTTCTTCCATAGTTTTAATCAAAAAAATTACGTTTTGATGAATATCTTTCAAATCATCTTGTTCATAAAAGATATCATTATCATTTGTCGCCATAATTGGAGTTGGTGTGTTTTCATCGTCAATCTTTGCCATTTGGCAATCCAACTTATTCATTACCTTCTCCAGTTCGTCAACAGTTAAGAACATTCTTTCAACTATTTTTACAGCATATGGATTATATTGTAAGAAAGATATTATAAAAAAGATATTATTAATTAGCCCAGAGATTAATTACCTTCTTCTTCTAATATAGCCATGATATCTTCATTAAGAACACACACGTTCAAATTCGATTGTATGCCATACAATCTCTGTCTAATTTTACTCGGAATCACAAATGACGATGATGCATAATTTTCAATGGTATAGATCCGTTGTAATTTTCCCATTTTTTAGTTGTTGTGATTGGCTGTTGTTGAGGGAAGTGGACTTTGTTTGATTTTGATTTTTTATATATTACAACTATATATAATTCTCTCACAAAGAATGCGTCTACGATGATGATGGTGGTGGTAATAATAAAAAATTAATTAACTGATTAATTTACCATGGATTTAGGTTGTGATTTAAAATTAAGATATATATAAACATCAGTTTCAGTATTGATATAAATATATGATTAGTGTTGGTATTGTAGGGCGTATTTGTTTGTGTTATCCTGTTGAATTTGTTGAATTGTTGGGTTGATTAGATTGGTAGGATTGTGGTGATGATTTCTTTGAGGATTTGTGTTAAGAAACTTGTAAGCTTTTCTAATTTACACTTTTATAATTAATTCTATATTCGAAGCTGTTGATGTTGCTGCTGTTGCAAGTAATTATTATTATTATTATTATTATTATTATTATTATTATTATTATTATTTATTAAATAGAATTGAGAAGAAGTAATGGAAGCGCATGCGTAAAACGTTGGCTGATGTACGAAATGACAATTCATCGAGTTGTTAAAAATTTTTAGAAAAAACTTTTTTATAATTATTATTTATAATATATTATATATATCTATAGTATATTTTAGAATAAAAAATATGTGAATTTTAGAAAGAAAAAAGTTTGTAGAAAAGAAAAGAACAAACAAAAAAGGAGTTATTTTATATATAAAATAAAAAAGGGAGCTTTTTTTGATGATGAATAATGAATAAAAAATATAATGAAATAGCTTTATTTATTATGTTTATTTTTTCTGCACGTACCTGCGTATCACAAACACAAAAATTCAAATTTTGAAAAAGCACCATCACACAAATCTTAATATATTGTTATTGTTTTTAAACTTTTCCATTCTCTTTTGTGTAATATAGATACACGTGTTACGTGTGACATTCATAAATAAACGGGAAAAAATGGGTTATCTATCTAGAAAAAAAAAATTTTTTTTTTGAATTAAATCTCTAAAAAAAACCAGTTTTAAAGTTTGTTCGCTTTTTCATTTTCATTTGTTATTACTATTTTTTATCACTATCGATTTTTATCCTTTTCCCACCATTATCACTGTCATATATAAAATCGAAATTATGCAAACTAGTTGTAGTCGATTATATTTATATGTGTTCATTATTTTTAAAAGAGTTCATTGTCACTTAACTATTTGCATTTTTAGCAAATTTATTGTTTCTTAAAATTTTGCTTTGCGTCAAGGACATCATCTATCTATGTTTGTTTGTTTTTTTAGTTCCAATATTTTCTCATTAAATCGTTCGAATTTTCAATAGAGGAATGTCTAGTTTAATCTAACCAGTTATCAATTATATATATAATTCAGCCATTTCCCCAAAATAAAAATGATATTTTTTGATAAGAAACAAGATTTCTCAATAATAATTTATTACTACCATGATGGCGATGGCGACGATGGAAAACAACGCCAATCAAATTCATCATCGTTATTTAAAATGTCAAGTTTGAAATTCGTTTCACATATAATTTTTCCACGAACACAAAATAATATATATATATTTTATATTAAAGATAAGAACATTTGAATGGAAACTTTTAATAATTTTATTAATTGACACAACATATTTAATTGTCCAATTGATAAATGTCATTGCGCATTAAGAACTCTTTCTTGCGATTCTATTTTTGAGTTTTAATATTAATATTATACATGTGATGTATCAATTATATCGAAACAATATTTCTTTGTACAATAATAAATCTTGAGGTTACAGAACTTGAGAAGATTGACCAATCCCAGCGTGAATCAAGTCTTATCAAACTATCTACGGATTTTTCTTGTAAACAAACTGTTCATATTAAATTTTGAACCCTACATATATATAATATTTGGTAGCACGAATATCTTCAAAAATCGCATCTCAGCTGCAGCAGTAGTCTATCTATATAGTTTTTGAAGTCTTGTCTAACATAATAATTATAATTGTACTAGTACCAACAATATAATGGTCCCTTGCTTCAAACCTTGTTAATTACTCAATATCCTCCATAGCCAAAAATATAAAGTCATGCTTGGTTTACTTTTTTCATTTTTTCATTTTCGACTTGACCAGGTTATTCAGGTTTAATCCAGTTTGACTTACTATTTTTGAGCTTGAGCCTCCGTGTGAACTTTTGTTTGATCAATTGAGGTTTTTTTGTTTCTCGAATGGTTTGTTCGTATCCAGGGTTATTTTCCTTGTTCTCATTTAGTCTCCTTTCCAGTCTATATGGCAATATCATTCTTCAACTGCTGACCTTGTTGGTTATTATCCCTTGTAATTGGCTTATGTAGTTTGTATTTCCAAAATGCGCTTCAAAATCAACATCCACAACTCTGTTTCAAGCGTATCAATGGCAAATCTTGTAAAACAATCCTTGATGATTACATTTTTATCTACAAGAGTACCTTTTATAATTAATTAAATGAATAATTGGCATTTCGATTGATAAAATTTGAAAGTATATACAGTTACAAATGTGATACCTAATTTATCAAAACAAGTTTGTCAGCGATCACATTCACATGCTATCTGCTATAATAGATAAAAGGTGGGTCACCAGGTCATTTTTCAAAATTCTGATGTTACGCGATCCGAAAAATCGAGTTTGTCCAGTCTTTGGAACCGAAACCAGCACAGAACAACTTTTACATAAAAAGAAATTTTAACTAATAAATTCAAAATTTATCGATTGAATTTATACTTGCCTCTCATACTATTACTATGGGATATGGAACAATCCCTAATCCCATTTGGTATGTGTGGGAGAGGCTCTGAGATCAGTAAAAATCTCATCCCATATCCCAATCTCCCATACTAACCAATCATATTTTCGTTACACCATTAAATAATTCAATAAACAGGAAGATCGACGGGACATATGGATATATTTGTTGTTGTAAATATTATTTTTGATTATTTCAAATAAATGTAAACATTTAAACACTTTTGTTTATTTCGAATATTCATAATTATTTCAAACACTTGTATTTAATTTCAAGTTTTTCAAACACTTTTACTTATTCAAATATTCATTAATTTTTTAAATACTTAACAAGTTACAGTATACCCACTAAATTATATTTGCTATAAAAAAAAATATACATTTGGATTTTGAGAATACACTTTTACTTGAACTCGGCATGTTCTTACACTTCCATCGTTACTAAATGAAATTCTCATGTAGCCTACCTTTCTTCTCATGGTTTTTTTTTTGGCTGGTAGTTGACAAATTTGTTCAGTGGTAATGGCAAAATAGATGAAAAGGTTTCTGAATTGGTTGTTTAGATAGATATCCGCATATTATTCATAAACACGAATTGGCTCGTCTTCTAATGTCAAATCAGTTAAATCACTCATACTTGAAATTAAGGAATTAAAATTTTATTTATCAAATATCTGTAATTGTTAATCTACGTGAATTTGTAATTCACATGTGAAATTCAAATTAGCCAACCAGAATTCATATCCAAACACCCTAAAATTTTATTATAAATTTCGATTTCAATTTCATTGAAAAGATTACGAATATTCAAAATAAATACAATCATTTAAAATAACTATAAATATCTGAAATATCCTTGAATAATTGAATATTTGTAAAAAAATTGATTTACACTAAACGTGGGATTAATAATCATAAGAAATTTAATTAATAGCTAGAATCCTGAATCAGTTTTTAAAATTTTTAGGTGAAGTAAAGTCACATTCACATTATGAGTTAAATGCAAGAGAATGGAGAGTAAAGTGAGATGTAACTAAATTGATTTACTGCCTATTGAAATCTTTGAGTCATTGTAATCATAATTATCATATATTTGCTTTAGCATTATTAACTCAATTGTATTTAATAGTTTATTGAAAGATAATATAACAGTTGATTTAAAATGAGCAGACATAATGTTTTTGAATAATACATTAGATTTAAAATAAATTTTATTAAATCATCAATTATTTAAAACATATTAATTGGGACTATATATTTATTTATTATAATCAATAATGATTTTTTTTATCAAAATATTCTAATTTATATTGCTGCTATTAATATCAATGGTAAATGATTTGGTGGTATGCAATCAAAAGAAAGAATTGTTATACAATTATTATTAAATTATATTATTATTTGATATTAATAAATAAAAAATTTGTTGAAAAGTAGAAAATTTAAAAAATTGTTTCTTTTTTATTTCCCTTTTAATTGTTTTATGGGAGTGGGGGAGTTAAGGATTTGATAATTGAATGAAATTTGAGGCAAAGTGAGACCCTGGATTATCATAATTGAGGTAACATCCCGTGTAAACATTTTTCCATCCTAATCCTGTACCCATTTAATATTAAAAGTTACTGGCAATAATAATTTGCCAGAATGTCTAGGTTGCTATTTGATAATTATTCCTTTAACTTTTGTATATCTTGTAACATTGATTATGGATAAAGAAATTCATTCCAATATCTAGCTGACAGATTTATAAAATCTCAGTGTCAAAAGATCCTTCTCTTTAAAAGATGCATTATTTATAGTGAGTGATGTTCGGAGACATTAACTTTAAGCTAATCATATGCACAAAAAAAATCAGTGCCACTAAATAGGGAATTAATTTTCGTGCGACATGTAACAACCATTTTTTATTTTGAAAATATTCAGTAATAATATTAGTAATAATTTTTTTAATTAAAAGATGAGTGAACGGTAAGTAAAACTCTTTAAATGTGCATGCACATAAAATAAATCTTTATAACTACTTAAAACCAATTTTTATTAATTATAGTAAAGTTTTAAACAAATACTTTCCACCAGATTTTGATCCAGGTTTGTTGTTCAAATATTACAGACTTTTAATTTTACAAGATTATTTATTGAAATGAAACTAATATTTTTTTTGAAATTAAATAGCTGGTAAGGAGAAAATTTCTTGTTAAAAATTTATCATTGTAAATTTCATAAATTTAGTTGTTATTGTTTAAAATAGCTATTCCAAGAAGGAAACAACCTAAAGATGCTCAACATAAGGTACTTATGTGTATATATATATATATATTCATTTATTTATTTTTGATCAGAAAATCATTAATTGAATTAATTGATATTTTTACTCAATAAGGTGCGTCTTATGACACCATATGCTATGAGATGTGAAACATGTGGTGATTATATTTATAAAGGAAAAAAATTTAATGCACGCAAAGAAACAGTTGAAGGAGAGTCGTACCATTCAATTAAAATATTTCGATTTTACATTAAATGTCCCAGATGTTCGGCCGAAATCACATTTAAAACAGATCCAAAAAACACAGATTATGTTGCTGAACATGGAGCGTCTAGAAATTTTGAACCGTGGCGTGAAGAAAAAATTGCTGATGTAGAATCTAAATTACAAAAGGAAAAGGAAGAAGAGAATAATCCCATGAAAGCGCTTGAAAATCGTACAATGGATTCAAAAAGAGAAATGGATATTTTGGATGCTTTGGACGAAATTAGAACAAGAAATGCTAGAAATGAAAGAGTGGATGCCAATGAGTTGTTGGATAAATTGGTTGAGGAAGAAGAAGTAACAAGTAAAACTGAACAGGAAATTTTAGAAGAACAAGATGAACAATTGGCAAAATCAATTTTTAATACGGATCATACAAAAAAAATAATCAATGAAGAGCAACATATGAAAAATTTGTTATCTGAAGCCAGAAAATCTTTAATATTGCCCACATTTGGAACGAATAAACCTGGCAGCACTAGGAATACTACTGGTAGTATCTTTGACAGCAACAGAAACAACAATATAATTACAAAAAGAAAATCTAGTAGTTCAGATCTTGGTATTATTGTAAAAAAGAGAAAACCAGAAACTTAGATAAATATCTCTTGTAAGTTTTTTTTATTTTCATCTTTACTATGATTGTTGATTATCATTGTTAAAGATTAAAAAATAATTTAAAAAATTAAGAAATTGAATTTTTAATAAATCATTTTAAAATATGGTAACGAGGTTGAAAACTTCTTTATTTATATTTAATATTTTTTTTAATATAAAAAGCTATAAACGGTTAAACAAACATGACATAATTGTACTTCTCTTGTCATATCAGGTAGGAATCCGGGGTCCTATAAGCATGATTATAATAATAATAATGAAACAATTAAATATTGCAGTTTTGGAGATCTACTGCTACATACATGCCATTTATTGTTTTTTTTACAAGCATTACTGAATAACATTATTCCTGGCTTTTAACCCTTTATTACAATAATAATAGATGGTAGCCAAGAAGAATTATATACTGCAGGTGGAATTTTATTTTTATATCCTCATTTTTATACATGTAAGTAATACACTTGTACATGATATAAAGAAAATAATTAAAGGCACGAAAAATATTACATATGTTTAAGAATTCATTATTGCACATATATATTTATTTTAATAATATAACAAAAAGAATGATCCTACTAGACAATGAGAACAGTAGAAAGTGATTGATTATGAGATAAAGGGCAGATAATAGTATAGACTAATATATGAAAATTGTTAAAAATGAGAAGGCATCTTACTCTCTATAACGAACCTTCAGTTTGACTTCGCGTAAAAAAATCTTTGCCAATGAAGTCATTCGAATCACCTCTAAAAAAGGTAAAAAGTGGAATTTGCATGTATCGTTTCACAATAACCAATTTCAATTTTTGTTCATAATAAAACCAAATGGCACTCTTATTGTGGAATTCACGTTGAGATGAGTCGACATATGAAAAAAACGATATGATGAATAGTTTAAACCAGAAATTTTAGATGAAGAAAATGAAAAATTAGAATCAATTACAAAAAAAATAACAATGCCAGTAGACCCAAGCTTTGTACGTTGTGGTGGAGAATTTTCACCAATGTTAGAATCATCAACATTAAAAAGTCTGACATAATAATACTAATAATAATAATACTAATACTAATACTAGTAATAATAATACTAATAATAATATTTGTGTGGTGTCATCATCAACTGACACTTACTTGATCCTATATTTGAATCAAAAAAGCATTTACCAAGCTTATGCTAAATGATATGGAACGGATGTGTGTAGATGGATATTTAAAACCTCTTGCAATAAAGCGGCACATTGCCTATAAATTAATACTAATACCATCAAAATTTATTTTGTTAGTGATTTATGCATTCTGCATTTTTTGTTCAGGTGCGCAGAATTCATCAAGAAACGTTGTTATATTATTAGTATATAGGGTTTTTCTTTGTTATCAATTATATTTAATTTATAATGGTGTCATCATTATTGTAATAATAATAATAATAGAGCTATCGGAGAAAAAAAAGTTCAAATATTTTATTCATTAAATTTTTATCCTCCCATTCTTTGGGAGTACACACCAAGAGTCTAAGGATCTTGCAAAATTTTATTTGTTGCATCACTATCTAAACCAGCAATTTTTTTTCCTTCTAATTTTGTTAAAATTCCTATTCTTTCCAAGCATCGATTTTCTTAAGCAATGAATTTTCAAACCATATCTCAACTACAAAATTGTCATCAATTATTTTTTGAATAAATGTACACCATTTGCTTTCAAAAGCATGGTTAAAACAAGATATATAACCAACTCCACAAAATTCATTATTATTTGAAATACCTAAATCATAAACAAATAATTTAACATGTTTCTCAATTTGAATTAGATATGGTCTGAAATCTATTTTTTAATAACAATTCTTGATCAATTTCTTTTATCTCAAAATCTAAAACCTTTGCTCCAGAAATCCTTGTTGAAGTTTGTAAATATTTTGATATAAAATAGAAAAGGCATCCGTAGGGCTGTTTTCCACTTTGCATGCATATTCTTCACATTGACAGCAATATCCTGGTAGAAATTCATCAGTTTTATTACCTTTTACAATGTGTAAAATAAATCTTTTATCATTAATGATAAATTGTGTTTTTATTTCAACACAAATAGGATGATAAAAATAAGCATCACTATTGTTATCATCGTGTTAGATGTTTGCCACCACCAATTTTTTGCATTAATTCCATAATGTAATTCAGGGTCAATAGAACCACTAGATAATAATTGAACTGATAAGTTTTTCATTTTAAAAATAAGTAATTAATGTTTTTATTTGATATATATTTTTTTTTAAAAAATATAAAAAAATAATTTTTTTATTAGGAAAAAGTTTTGGATTCTATTATTTATTGATCAAAGTTTATTATGTTTAATATCCCGTGAACTACATATGATATTCCTATCATTGATCGGCGGACGTGTACACATCAATCAAATCACAAACTTCTTTTTTTTTTTGTCAAAAAAAGATCTAAAATAAAGAAAACAATTTATCATATGAGTGGTGGTTGTCACCACTCGTTGTCACTCTGGTTAACATTTAACATCCATCAATACACTTTATCATGAAATCGAAAACATAGTGCATCTACTGATGAGATGACCAAAGAGGTTAGTTCAGAATAAATTCATGTTTAGCTTGCAGGAATTTACACCATTTATACCACATGTCTTCCAATCACATCACTGGATTGAAACTTACAAGTTTTTTTTGTATAGCAAAAACATAAGAAAGGAAGTGTTTTCAATACAGCAAAACAATAAAAGAAAAAATGATGATGCTTGAGCTGGGGGAAGTGGGTAAGTGTTTTAAGGATGGTGGTGGTGGTGGTTATCTCCTGCCACTTGTTGTTACTCTAGTTATTATTAAAAAGATATTGCAATCATTGTAACTCGTCATTTTGGTTGACCATTTAAAACTTTTTTTTCTTTAAATTATCTTCTTCTCGGGATAAAAGGATCAGAGTACAACAAGAATTACTAAATAATCTCATGACCATGGTGGATGTAATCCAAAACACACCTAAAGAAAAAATTATAGAAATATTTAATGAAGAAGTGGATGCAGTAAAATCATTTAATTTTTGTTTGGAAAACTTCTTGTGTGTTCTTAACACACATTTGGCAGATGAAGAGGTGGGCAATGAACTTTTTATTGATTAATTGGTTCATTTTTAATTTTAGAAATTAAATTTTTGCATTACCACATAGTGTTCCATGTTGCAATCCAAAAAAGGAAACCAAAGTGGTCGCAAAGGTGGTTGCAACCAGGTGTTGCAAACCATTTTTATATGTTGCAAATATGGTTGCCACCATCACCAAGAATTGTGACCAGCATCTATATTACCACATTACTGTTACAGAGTAATAGTGGCAGTGATGTTGATATTGAAATATTACAAATTTATCATGATGATGATGATGGTGTAAGTAATTTTAAAGTTCCTTTCTGTTTGTTCATTTTTTTTCATTTTAGAAATCTGTGTCTAACTGGAGAGTCATGTACCTATACTGTATATTATATATCGAATGTTTTCATTGTTATAATAAGTTTATATCTTTATAACATTTGCATTTTTTATATATATTTATAAATACTATATTTTTAATAGGTTATTATACCTAATGATAATGATAATAATGATGTTGGTGGTTCAGAAGAGGAAAGCATTTAACAAACTTTTCTGTTTATTAATATATTAATGTCAAATTTTTTTGTCAACTTATGTATTTGTTTTTTTTAAAACCTTACAGAGAAGTTATAACCTTTGAAACAGGAAACAGTATTGGTTCACTACTGTGAGATCAAAAATTCATGTCTCACACAAATCTCCTGGATTTGGTTAAAATATTATTTATGCCGTTTTCTGGCAGTATCCAGTTATGTAATTCTTTGATTACTTCTCTTGCTATAGTGCTCAAGCTGTTTAATTATTTGTAGGGCAAGTTTTCTTACTTCCCTTCCGGTAACATTTTCTCAGCAGTTGCTATGTTTGCTGCCTGAGCCGGAACATGTCAATTATTATCTCTGCTGATAATAATCCCAGTATCCTCCTTGATACTGATGTGTTGTGTTTTTATGGTTCAGTGTTTCTAACTGACCGCACCTAGCTAGGGTTTCCACTTGTTTAGGTGTTGGCCTAATCTAAAATAAAGAAAATAAAATTAAAAGAGAATACACACACTATACTTATCAAAGGTGTCCCCCTGGTAAGATAGTAATTAATTAATTATTAGGTTAGAGTTAAAAGTTTAGATGGGTTAGGAAGCGGGTGGATAATTCCACTGGCAATAGATTATTTTAAGAGATATTTATGTTTGTATTTTATTAATAAGATATTATTGTTATTACAAGATAGTAGTTAAGAATGAATTAACTGATTAACTGATTATTACATGAAAGAGAAATTTACAACATATTTATACATGCTAAAGGTTCTATCATCTAGTTATTCGACTTCATTGAAATCCTAATTTATACTAATTAATATATTCCTTAATTATTATTTAAACCTTCCATTTAGAATATTTTCAAGTAATTTCTAGTCATCACGAGTCATGTAAAATTCTTTTATTTAAATATTGTTCTGAGACTTTGTAATCTGTTACACTTTAGAATGTTGGAATATTTATATCTCCAATATTTGGGTTATTTTCCGAGGGCTATTTATTTGATTGGTGCACCTTATTAATTAGTGTAACATTTATTAAATTGTACTGGTTTATTTCTTGTTGAGTTATTCCGTGATAATCGTTTCCAAATTTTCACTTCGTGATACATGTAAATCATTTCCGATTTATATGTTCGTTTCCCGTGATTTATAATTTACTATTTTACAATAAATAAAATTAATTAATCCTCATTTGAATTGATTTGTAGATTCTTCAGTACTACTTTCTTCTCTTATATCATCACTGATTTCAATAATATCAGTTGAAGCAAAGGTGTCAATATTCTCATTAACATTAGTTACTTCAGAATCCTCAAATTCTTCATGTTCATTCTGTTTCAAAAAAAAATTGAATTCATCCTCATCCTCTGCATCTATAAAACCTTCATATTCATAAATATTAATATTAGAAGAGTCCATTTTTTAATTAAGTTTAAATAAATAAAAAATTTTATTGCAGTGTTAAAAAAAAAATTAATACAAAATGATTGGCAAAGTAAATTTTTTTTGTACCTTTACTTTGCACGATCATTTATCACCAAGAACAATATGTAACACTTTGTTTTTTCTTTAATGGGTTAATAATACAATCTCAAAAATCATTTTTTAATTAGGAAATTATGTGTAAAAACTGCATGATAAAAATCTTTGTGTCTTACAACAAATCTGCAGCATATATGCTGCAGAAACAGTTTAAGGGATAAAAGAGAAAGAAATTCTGTAAAATTTCAAAATTTAAATTATAAAATAAATTTAAATCAAATAAAAATTCTAAATAATAACAATGCCTAAAAATGCTCAAAATAAAGGTCCTTGCACAATAATTGATTGTCAGAGTATTATTGATACTAATAGATTTAGAACAATTACTGATACTGCATTGGAAAAGTTGCAAGAACATCCAGATTATACAAATTTTAATTATTTAAAGCTTAATGATCAACTTTGCCATCCTCATTATATGAAATATGTTGAATCAACAAAACATAGAAGATTAAACTTAAAAGATTCTAATAAAGATAGCATTGAAAAAAAAAAGCAAATGATAATTTTTTTGTAGAAGATATTAAAATTATCAAAATTACTGAAAATGGTGTTCTCTTATCTGAGGAAGATTTTAAATTATTAGTTCAAAAAATTGATGATATGGAATTTACAATTGAAAAAAACCAAAATGAAATTGAACATCTACTTGAGTCAAGTGATGTTTATTTAACAGTTCAAAATAACTTAAGAAAAAGTAGGTTAAAAATTTTTTTAAATAAATTTTAATTTATGTATAAATACTCACAATTAAATTTTAATTATAGATGAATTGTCCTTTTCAAATAAAATTGAATTATTGACCAAAGTACTCTATGATAATCAATGTAAACACCATGCAGAAATTGAATTAGATCCAATAAAATTTTGTCAATTAATTGAAGAAAATGAACCAAAATTAAAAGGATTTTTGATGAAATGATAAATATCATTCCTGATAATCGTACCTTTTCAAATAAAGAATCTGCTAAAAAAGCAATAGTTGGATATTGTTACCTTTTAGCAGGTTTAAGAAATAAATTTGTAAATAATTTTAAGCTGGATCTTGGCCTTTATTTATCTGAAAATGGCACAAGTGCTGCTGCTATTGACACATTGTCAAATGCAGGTATGTCTGCATCATATAAAACTATTGATAATTATAAAAAAAAAATAAAAGCAAACCACCCTGAAGAAATTAGAAAATATTTCACCAATAATGTAAGTTAATTCAAGGTTCAAGTAATAATTATTGAATTAAATTAATTTTAATTTTTTTATTTTTAGTGTCAGTATATGCACTGTTTTAATATTGATGATTATCATTCAATTCATGAATGGAGAAGGCCTGATTCCATTTCATTATCTTCAGCAACACATATGGCAACATGTGTTTCTAAAAAAAATTGAAAATGTTTTAGCCATTCCTGCTAATTACAACAACATACCACTTTTTAATCCAAATAACATTGAGTCATCATCAATCATTTCCAGACTAACCAATGATTATAAAGGTCACTTTGATCTAAGTTATAATTATATTAAAAAGGAATGGATCCAAAATGAAATGATAAATGAAAATAATTTCAACCAATTGGAGGCTTTATCAGTGCACCTATATGGTGCAAATATTGAGGAAAAAAAAGAGGAAAGATCAATGAAAACAGTTAGAATTTTAGATATAAAAGAACAAAATCTTCGTTCTCTAAATGATTACCTCTCTGCAATTAAAATGATTACAAGTATCAGTTCATTGACAGAATATATTAAATTGAATGCTATACTGTGAGCGTGTAAATTCAATTACAGCTTGGGTTGTGTCCAATAAAAATATAAGATAAAATAAATAAAAAGTCCAATATATAAATCTCCCTATCTTCGCACACAGCTAAGGGTTCTCAAATTCCCAGGCCTCCATCTTCGCACACAGCTAGGAGCCTTCCCAAATTTCCAAGGCCTCCATCTTCGCACACAGCTAGGAGCCTTCCCAAAATACTCTATTGCGCAATTCTCTCTCTACAGTACTAATATGAAGTACTGCTGGCCTAAAAATGATAAATAAAATAAAAAGAATATATACAAGAAATATTTACAACTATACCACTTGAGGCGTCCCTACAAGCAGCATAGAACAATAAAATGGGGGTTCCTAACTAATGATTAGTGGCCAGCCACTAATCATCAGAGGGGACCATGGAACAATTCACAATGGCTTTTCCTATTAACAATGCAAAAATTTGTAATAAGGTAAATTGTGTTTATTTAATTATTAACAATGGGGGGGGGGTTATTTATTCAATTATTATTAATGTTATTAACACAATCTTCACTTTAACTTGGTCTAAAACCAAGCCTTTTTATACCTCTTGAGGTATTACAAATAACATGACCTTTCATCTGGAAAATATAAAAAAAATTTGCACATGTCAATTGTAAGTTTAATAATAAAAAAGTGTAAAACTTATATCTGCACTGTAAGATTTACACAATATTACATCGGCATCATAAGATTTATGCAAGTTCACACTAAATTAATTTCCTGATGTTACAATATTTTATCCAATAAAATATGCTTATTAATCCTATTTTCTGTATTACTAGCTTACTAATTGCTAATTACTAATGCTCTGACTCATAATTACTAATCCTATGAGTCATTATTACAAATAATTTGATTAATAATTCGAAGTAAATAATTATGTCATAAAATAAGTTAAAAATAGAAATGATGTAATGATCTACATGTGTACCATGACGTGCAACCGTTGCAATAAATATAGAAAGATGATTGTTAATCGTGATGTAATATTCAGCGCATCACATGACTTCCGTAGTAAGTTCGTTCTAATTGGTCAATTGGTTGGTCCACGGTTTACAATCTCACAATACACATAATATTTGTACCCATTTTCCTGATGACTCTCCAGGTAATTGTTTCCGTTTTTCTAATTCAGCTGCACATCCTTCTTCCATTGCTCTAGTTCTATATCTAGTTTGGAATTCGTGACAAAATTTGCATCAAAGGCATTATCATGATTCCAACAATCCATATCTTCCTTAACTTGAGTCTGCCATGTAGCTGCTCCTGCTACCTTACAATCATTTGCTATTCTATTTACAACAAAAGCTTGCTCCATCTCTTCTAACCAAGTAATTAGATCTTGGTCTCCTCCATAATATTCCGGGTATTTAATTCTGCTGGTACAACTTGTGGCGGATTTATTGTATTTACCACTTGAGTAAGTGCGTTGGTAAAGCTGCTGGATCCATTAAGATTTGGTTCTGCTGTTGGGTATGCTGGTTGATTTATTTGTTGGTTTACTACGGGTAGGTTTAAATTGAAAAAGCTCTCTGGGTCTGGGTATCTTTGATATCTGATACTAATTAATAATACTTCAGATATTTGCTGAACTTGTTCTGGATTGTGTTCTGTCAATAGATGCTCAAAAGCAAGAACAGTGTTAGATGTACAATTTATAGCTTGGTGATTATCAGCTACCCAGTTCCAAAATATAAGGGATTCTGGTGAGAAAGGATAACACTCTGAACAAGATAGGTCCTGATGAATATAATTTATAGATATTAAACAAGGATATAGTCTGTGTTGTCTCTCGTGTTCTATTGTGTGATATTAAAATTCATTCAATTGATCCTCATAAGGATCTTCTTCGTATGGTATATAATCTAGGATATCTTCAAACAAAACTTCTTCTGGGAAAGTAATTTCTTTAAATTTTTACTGCTTTTTTCTACTGGCCTTGTTTTTGAAAGATAAATTCAATCTCTTCTTCGGTTAATCCTTGAAGGTTCCAACATTTTTTTCAAATGTCCATTTGTTCCACATGAATAGCAAGTTTTATTTTGATGTGGGCTTTTAGTTGTAATTTGAATGAATAATTAATTGATTAGGATTTTCAGCAAAATATGTATGTACCAAATTGATTAATTGAATGCCCTTGATGTTTCTCGTGAGGATTTATTGACAAAAACAAGATAAAGAAATATAAGAAAGAAACAATAATAAAAAGATGAATTCTGTTCTTATTAAATCACTTGTATAATTCCACACAACTCGCACCAAGTTGTCATTAATTATTATTTGAGAGCATGATAACAATATAAATTTATGACTATGTCGAATTTGAACTTTTTATATATGGTGCGCGAAGCCTATAACCACCATTTTTGCACGTGATTTTTGAAAGAATAGAAGTACATTTCTGTTGATCCTTTTTAAAAAATAACTCTGTTATTGCATAGATTGAGACTCAAACTTTATTGTGACAGAGAGATTTTTTCAAAATACTGATTGGTTATCGTGTTCTATTCCTTTTTAGTACATGTATTTTACTATGTTCAAGATGATTTGGCAGTAACACGATT